AAAAACCTGAAAATGTACTGATTTTTTCCAAGTGTCCTGCATTTGTCCCGCATTTTATTCGTAATTTTAAAATTATCGGACAATGGACGGATTTTTTCAAAAAAGTGTTTTTTGGGTGCTTTTCGTAGCTTTTCTTCAATATCTCATGAAACAATCTCCCAATCAACGTAAGCGACTTACAGATCGAAGGGTATTGATGTGCCTCTTACCAAAATATATAACTTGTGGCGACTTCAATGAAAATTATTAGTGCTACAGGCGACCATTTGCATTTTGTCGTCAAAGTCGAAAAAAGTGAGGTTTTCAATCAAATACGCAGTTTCATTTGATTATTTTTTTTCATTATTTTAAAAATTCCATAAAGAAGATATATCACTACAGTAAATTTTGAGCCAAAGATAATGAAAATCGGATTAGAAATGTAAATGCTATGGAGCGCAATCTGCACAAATTATATATTTTTGTAAAGGGCACTTTGTAACTCGTCGTTTACGTCGTTTCAAAAAAACAAAAAAAGGGTACTGTTTTCGTTTTGAACGACTCAAAATTTGCCTATAAAATAATCTTTTAAAGATTTTCACTTTTCGTGTAAACTATTTTAATTATAATATGTTTTACTATACTTTTATAAATATTCATGTAAAAAAGATTAATATCGATGAAGAAAACGTGATTCATATTTAAAGTTTAAAATGTATTAAGAATTTAGAATCATAAATACTCTTTTGATATTTTTATACTACGTAAATATATGTAGGCATATTTTTGAAAAATTGTCCTTCATTTTGAATCCATATTTATGGTCACCGTACATATATCGCAAAAACTGGTTTCTGAACAATCAGTGGTACAAGAGATTAAGATTATACAGCATAGATTTTGACGATTTTCTCAGTAGACTTTGTATTATTATTTAAAAAATAGATTACGAAAATTATCGGTTTTAGCTGGCCAAATAAAGGAGTTTTACAGTAAAACCCCATATCTGAACAATAAGTTGTATGGGGGCAATAAACAGGTTATAGTGACCCGATCTTTGTTAATTTTACTGTAAACTTTCTGTTGATAATGAGTGAAAATAGTGCGAAATTTCATGTTTCTAGCTGCATAGATGGAGTAGTTATAACAAAACATCGCATATCTGAACAATCAGTTGTATGGGAGCTATATGTAAAAGTGACCCGATCTTTGTTATTTTCACTGTAAATATTCTGTTAATAATGAGTGGAAACGGTGCGAATTTTGATGTTCCTAGCTGCATAAATGAAGAAGTTATGGCAAAAAATCTCATATCGAACAATCAGTTGTATGGTGGATATAGGTTGTAGTGACTCGATCTTCGCCATTTTCACTGAAAGTATTCTTTTGATAATGAGTGACAACATAGCAAAATTTCATGTTCCTAGCTACTTAAATGGAGGAGTTATAACGAAAAATCTTATATCTGAACAATCAGTTGTATGGGAGCTATAGGTTATAGTGACCCGATCTTTGTAATTTTCACTTTAAGTTTTCTGTTGATAATGGGTGGAAGTATTGCAAAATTTCATGTTCCTAGCTGCATAAATGGAGAAGTTATAACGAAAAATCTCATATCTGAACAATCAGTTGTATGGGAGCTATATGTTATAGTGGCCCGATTCTTCCGGTTCCGACAAATGATTAATACATTATAAAAATACACCCACCTACTAAATTTCATCCGGTTATCTCGAAAACTGAGAGACTAGATTGCATACAAACAGACAGACAGACAGACGGCAGACGGACATGGACCAAAGTTATAATACCATTTCATGCTCATGAAAGGTGTAAAAAA